GGAGATGACCTCTTGACCTCGACTGACAAGTGAGACGAGTACTGGGAATAGGATACACAGGGGAGAACGAGGAAAGGAAACATGAAAGGAAAGATGGGGTAGGGAGGTACATGCAATTATAAAGGCTGGTTTTAGTCAGTGAGGATTAGTTCGTAATCAGCTGAGTATCTGGGGGTGAATGAGGCCATTTTCAGCTTTTGACAGCAATTATACACTGCTTTCCCTCCGTATTTTCACTCCCTCTGGGCTTTATGTTCTTGAATGAGTGCATGCCATCAACCTATCTCTCTTTCTGTTCCACCTTTCCCTCTCCCAATGCACATTTTCACAGGACATCCCTTTCACCGGTGCTCTTTTTTTTTTTTTTCAAATAGCAAAATAGTGACAGATAAATAATACAATTTGGCTATTTGAGAGTGAGATTTGTTGACAGGAAGGCATGGTGACAGCGGGTAATCGGGGTCAGGCTAGATGCTGTGCATGGACCAAAACTGGTTTGGGTTTAAAGGGGAAAAAAAACTGGCCAGTGTTAGACCAGCTGAGAGAAGGTGGGGGCAGGGCGGGGGGAGAGGTGTAGGATGGCTGCAACTGGATCCTCGGCATTCTCAACCTCCCATTTGTTGGGCTCTATGGTGTGTTGATACCCTCTAACTTGGTATTGTAGTAGAGGAAGAGCTATGGCTTTAATTAAGCCCGAGATGATGGACAGAAGAGATGGATAGATAAGGAGAGGGATGATGAAGAAATGGAGTAACAAAAGCAAAGAGCTCATGCTATTTAAATTTGAAGATCTTTGTAGTCAGACAGCAACTATTTGTCTTGCAAACAAGATCTGTTGTAAACAGGATAATTCACAAATGTAAACTGTAGTCTTGCTTGGCAAGAATGAATGAAACGAAGAAAAATGATGAAAGCTTTTATAAATCATTCCAAACATAAATCAACCGTTTTCTTTACAATCACATGGGAAGAAGAGATAACAGGTCTTTCCTCTGAGTGCAGAGGGCTGCATAGTGGAAATGGAAAAGTGTTGGAACGAAGGGTGTCGAAGGTGATGGAAGTGGTGGTGTTGTGCGAGGGATTTCAGGCATAAATCACCAGTGTGACAAAGCACTCCAATAGGCAGATAAGTGCACATTAGTTGTAAGACAGATATGTCATCATCTTCCTTCTAGTTGTCTTTTCTACCCCTGGGACGAATCTAAGCTCTTTTTCTCTGTAGAAAATAAGAGCCAGGTGTGACTATGGAGCTCTTAAACTCTTGTTTTGCTGACTCATTTTCCACTATATAAAAACATTCAGTGTTCCAACTTTACACAACATACATTGTGTTACAGAAGGATTCATACCTTGTCTACATTGTGCCAAGTTTTGATATTTTAGTGCAATACAAAATAATTCCACTACTTTGCAATTACTTTGTAAAGTAGTTTTTTTTGAAAGTTTTTTTTTAACATTAAAGATGTTTAAAAAATATAATTATGAAAAAAGGGGCGTAGTTACTCTGATATCCCCAAATAAATGTCAGTGCAGCTAATTCCAAGTCCATTCATTAATGAATAGAGTTCACCTTTGTGTCATCCGTTTTCTCTATGTATATACAGTTGCAGTATACCTCAAAAAAGGTTTTTAGTCTACAGAACATGAAATCTCCAGATGAAATCCAGATCTCTGGAGGAGTCGTGTTCAGGTGGGATGATGCATTGACAGGAGAGCTAGTTGTTTAAATTCCACTAATCTGGCCTTTATAGAGTATAAAGAAGAGGTAATGAATGAAACCCCATTTACAGTTTGCCGTGAGCCACACAGATAACACAGCAAACATATGGAAGGAGGACTCCGAAAATGAACTCTGCTGATAAAATGAAAAACATGAAAAATGAGAAGTACAAAAGCAACATGAGAAATTATCTTTTGTTCATCCTGTCACATCTGCTCTGCTTCAAAAATGATTTACTTTGTTAAATTCCATCTATGTAAACATAATGTGCCACTTAATTTGAAGAAGTTCTGGGTGCCCTAAGCATTTGTGGTTAGTCCACACTAATGGCTGGCAACGACTAGACACTAACTACTTTTGCAAAGGTAAAAACCTAAGTCACTCATTGCAATCTGCTTTACTGTGCTATCTCGGCAAGTTATTTTTTTATTATAAAAATCCCCCAAAAGTGGAAAAAAAGAGATTTAAATAAGTGATCATTTTGTCTTCCATCAGACTGGTTTATTGCCTCATATTTACAGTTCACAATGCAACAACAGCAGACCAAGATTATGTTTCTTACTTCCATAAAAAGGCATTCAGCTTTTTATCGTGCAAATTAATTATATTTGACAGCGGAACATTTCTATAATGGATATACAATTTAATATGAACTGGATGATGTCCTAAATCCTGATTTCTACAGGCACCACAACAATAATCTAATAATAAGAAGAATATAGAGATAATGAGCCATTAGCCACAGTCAATATCATCTCCAGAAGGCCTTGAGTACTCAGGCAGTGTTACAGACGGAGTTGGAGATCTGTGCCAAGTAAAAGACAAGCTGGAAAGCTCCCCAATCAATGTTTTTTTTTCCTCTCTCAGTCCCAGACCAACTGTCTATTCATCTGTTTCTCTCGAAATGAAAGGTGTGCTGGTATGCAACACTTGCAGTCGAGAGATCTGTGTCTTAATTAAATCGTTGCAGATTGTGTTTCTCTCGCTGTGCAGACAGCATACTGTGCGTTGGAAACAATGTTCCCTATAGTGTCTTGCAAGGAGCAGATGAGGTTAATAAAAGATGTTTCTGTGTTGGATTAAAATCTGTGTAGTGACGCTTTTAGACAAAGTATTTGCTTCATAATTAAACTCTGAGGAATATCAAAAGAAAGAAGAGACATTTGTCTCCAAAAACATGCCATGTGACACACTGTTTGAATTGCCTTTGTGTGGATTTGGCTTTTAAAGAAGACTAAAGTATACATAAAACCAAGCTGTACATGCAGTTTTGTGCTTGCAATTTCATTCTGAACAGTGGCATAATGAATAATTTATCTTGCCACAATCCAACTGGGAATGTCCTTGCTATTTACATTTTATCATCAAGGGCACTGGATGAACCGTCACAGCGATGTAACACATGACACATCTCCACTCCTCGTCCTGTTTGCACAATCAAATGCAGCAGACGAGAGACCCACTGAAAACATCGTTCCAGACCTCTGCCGTTTATTGATAAAGGATGAGGGGAAAACAACAGTTTGATGAACATGCTTTGTGATGACTCAACATGATTTTCCTTCAGATTACCTGGTGCTCTCGCACAGCGAACATATGAGTAAACGGTGGCTAAAAGGGGGACACACACGAGGGACTCAATTCACACAATATAAACAGTGTTTACAGCAGACAATTTAGTTTCCTTCCAACAATTATGAGGGGAATTGAATCTCAGGAAATGTTTGTTTTCTTGTCCATTAGGCCACACAATAACAGCATTCCCAAAGGCATACAGACACATCTGTCTTTAAAGGACAGTCCAGTAAATTTATAGAAGCTTGCTTTCAGTCTATTTTAGGACCAAGTAAATCAAATTAAGACAAGAACAATAAATCCTTGATGTTTTTTATTTTTTTTTAATTTATGTGTGTTGTGAAACATTTGGGTAAAAACAAAATTCTCTGCATATTTGGTCACTGGAATTAAATGATTGATTGCGTGCGATTAAAATCGCTTTCTGGGAAGCTGACGTTCATTTCACAAACACTAAACTGAGATCTGTAGAATTGGGACGGGTAGGTTTAGGGAGATTTTCCTACTTAAAAATATAGAAATTTTCATTTGAAAACTGAACTTGCATTTACTCAGATGATCTGAAAGTCTGACATACTGCCAACTCAGGAAAAAAATACTTTTTCTTGGTACTGTACACGGAATGAATACCAGAATGCAAAATGCAAAAAGAGAGATAGAGAGAGAGAAACAAAAACAGGATAAATTAGGACTCAGTTTAGTTTACATTTCTGGTATGCATGAATGTGTTTATACTTTACCCTTTCCTCATTCTAACCAGGAAGCATCTTTGCCGTTTTACAAATTTTTTATGCTACTTGCCAAAAAATACTTTTTTCCCCCTCATTCATCCTGAAACAATATTGAGTGAAACAAGAAAAAAAAAGTACCCTGTATCCTCTCTCCTTTTCCTGTCTCTTCATGGTCCTTATTTTCCAAAAGTATCTGTTTGAGAGATAAATGACCACTCTGCTGCCGAGGATGACAGCCTACACAAAGATGATATTGAATTGATTTCAGAAATGTTGCAGAACTGACTGCTTGATGTATACCGCTAGACATGAATCATAAAAATTCTATTAAAAACCCCTTGAATAGCTGACACCAGAATATTATTTGTGATGATTAATTTGACTCAGTCATTACAATGGGAGTCAAGTTGGATCATCTCAGACAAAATTGCTTTTCATTCCCCGTTGAATTTCCCTGCTATTTTTCTTTTCTTCCTGCTCTGTGCAGGACTCTGATCTGATTGGACTTATAGTGTTTGAGCAGCAGCTAACACATGCATTGGTTTTCTTTATCACCAAGGTCAGGCGCTCCATGTTTGCATCTAAAATTAGATGTTTAATGTTTGGTTGAAAAAAAATGTTTTTTTTTTTTTTGTGTGTTTTTTCAAGAAGCGAAACACTAAATGAAATAAATTTGTAAATTAAAATAATTCAGTATTACTTGATGTATCACAATACATGTGTTAAGGATATATATATTTGTTGTCTTTTCTCTCTTTGAAACAACTAGAACACCACATTTGGTTAAAAACTTGATCTCCATTTTTTACCATGTGGCATAGTTTTCTGTCGCTTGTTGATAGCCATCAAATGCCTCAGATAACTATCTCTTGCTTTAGAAAATTCGAAATCTTCTCTTAAGTTTCATATGACTCTATTTGATTGTATGATTGTTTTCTCCTTCTATTTCTCGCTTTGTTTATCCATCCTGTCAGAGCTACACAGGCCAGACGGGCAGCGGCGGGGGAGGAGGCGGAGGAGGCGGCACTTCAAGTGGAAACGGGACTGGGGACGAAGACTATGAGATCCCACCAATCACTCCACCCAACCACCCCGAGCCACCTCTTCTTCACCTGATGGAGCATGACTCTACGGGCTACCTCTGTCATTCGCTGCCACACAATGGGCTCATCAACCCATACTCGTACACTGAGCTGCCAACGCTCATGATGTCGAACATGTTGGCACAGGACAGCCACCTTGTCTCCAGTCAAATGCCCTCGGTGAGTAAAACTGCCTTGATTTTGCATCCAATAATGGGCTTTGGTAGGATCCAGTCCAAAGCTGGATAACAGTATTAACTACACATGTTTGAGCCCATTTAATAGTAAAAAAAAAGCTAAAATTTTTAACTCCACTAACTTTAATTTGTAAAAAGCAAATTTACTTTAAAATAAAGTCAATTTAAAGTACATTTGCGTTATTCTTTGTAATCTGAAGTTCACAGAACACCTGCACCTCCAACATTTAAAAGCAACCAAAAAAAAAAACATGTGATGTTTTGTAATGATTAATGTTTGAATGACATTGATGTTGATGAATGATTTCTATAGTGAAACAGATCATGCTCCAAAAACGTTAATGTAATTTTCAAGACAAGTAGACGTAGGCCAAGTGGAGGGAACAGATGATTGTTCAGGGGCTGCCTTGTCAGCTGTAATGCATGGAGAAAAGGATTGTGGGTAAATCCATCAGCATCATATCTGCCTCGACGGCATGCATCGGTCAATCTGTCAAACATGAATACATGCTGATTACTCCCTCAGCTCCAAACACACACACACACACAAAAAAAACGCTCGTCTGCAAATTAGCATCTCAAAACCGTAATTGCTTTTGTGGGAACTGCTGCAAGAAGCAGGTTTCTATCAGAACAGCACAACAATCTGCAGAAGGTTTAAGTATGAAATGTAAACACACATGCTGCTGTCTTTATTCCTGTGTTGTAGATGCAGCATTAAATATGTGATTTGTGGTTGAATTTGAAGGTGAATTTGAAGTTCAAGATATTCAGATAAGTCTTTTGTTCGTCACTGTGCAGCAAATATGTAAGTGTTTGACTAAAAATTGTTCCTCTTAAGTTTGGCAGTGTCAGATCTGAATGCATCCATTTGGAAGCAGAAGGCATTGATGTTTTTCATTGATTTCAGCACTGAGATCCCAGTGAAACAAATTACATGGTAAACCATTTTAACATAAAAAAATATATATTCTTCTTATGTGGAGGCTTAAGGTAAAGGAATTCATGCCCTTGTAATTTACTGGATAATGACAGATATCATAAACTGGCACAGAAATAGTTTCTGCCAGCTGTGCCTTTTTTTTGTAATTTTTATAAATCCCCCAAAGCATTTTGGATGATAGCTGTTTCTCATCGGTCTTTACCATTATAATTATCAGAGATTCTCAGAGTGTTTTGTAAGATTATGAAGCAGATAAGAGTATCTGTTTTATACAGTATACTGTAGACATACACAGATGCATATCAAGGTCAAGTGTGATGTATCATGTTCATCACAAACAGAGGGGAGAGGGGTAAACAGCAATTGAAATAGATCTTGATAAAGATCTCAAATGCAAACATCTTATGCATTATATATATATATTGCAGGAATATTCCCCTGATGTATTAGCTTCACATGTCATCTATCTTTATATTCATTTCACATTTTGGTCATGACCTTTACTGTGGAGACATTGCTTGATTGGCCAGTCTTTCACTCCACCGTCGGCGCGTGTTTGTTTGTGCTGGAAAGAACCACGCTTCGGTTTTAATGGAGCTGAATACAGTCGGCTGCACGATAAAAATGCATGAGATTCCGAATGTGCAGCGAGCGCAACATATCGAACAGAAATTTGAACAAATAATCTCCAATTGCAAGGGTTATTTCTTGTGAGTGCTGTTTTGATAACCCTGGATCATATAAAGATTATTTTTGGAGACGAGACTGAATGCTTTGCCCAGTTTAAATTAGGTTCTGAAAGTGCCACGTTACTGTTCTAAACAGTGTACATTTTTAGATTTGCAAGTGCAAGACTGAAGCAAAGCAGCACATACAGTAATTAAGACGAAAGAAAACAGTATATTTATTTTTTCACTTGGCCCTCTTTACTCTGATACCACTAAATAAAATCTAGTTCAATCTGCTGCCGTCGAAAGTCATTTAATTATTTGACAAAGATCCCGTATGTAATTTAATTACAGTATAGATGGAGCTGGTTTGCAAATTGCTTAGTGATTTGTGAACCAAGATTGGTGGGGAAAAAAAAAAAGAAAAATCCTCAAAAAGCTTCAGAGTACATCTCACAGAGCACCGTTCAGTTTGTCGTCTGATATTTGGGAAGTATCCTACTCGCAAACTGCAGAAAAGTATCACATATGGCGACACATAGAGGGGGAACGATTATTATGTAGGGAGGTTTTGATGTGCCTTCCATAAACACACACACACACACACACACACACATATATATATATATATATATATATATATATATATATATATATATATATATATATATATATATATATATATATATTTTTTTTTTTTTTTTTTTTTTTTGAATTTTTAAAAAAAATTTTAAAATAATTTTTTTTGTTCATTTTT